GCCATTTTGGTGTCCTTGCAGGAATGTGGCTCTTTTCAGCCTAGAACCGTGTACAGGGCAACCAACTCTGAAAAGCCACAGGTCAAAATTAGGTTTGCGTTCCACTTCGTCGAACGCAATTATTATTATTATTATTATTATTATTATTATTATTATTATTATTATTACCATCATCATCATCATCATCATCACTATTTAATGCATAGTTTCCAGTACTAGTCTCCAGAACTATGCAAACCTTGTTTCCCGTGAACATACAGTGGTGTACACCCTGTCTCTAATACTGGACTTATTTCATGAGAAAAGGATATGGTGTTTTGAGAGCTGACAGTCCTGCTTGGAGTGTAACAGCCAATGCTGACTGATCATTAAGTTGATGAAGCTGAAAATTCTCCCTTCTAAACTGCATGACCAGCTGGCCCCACCTCTCCAAATCAAACAGCTCCTGTGGTAAAAGTACAAAAGGTTACCTCTATGCACTCCTTAACATTAAGAACTATTTTCTTTTCAGCTTGTTGGAAACACAAGCCTAACAAAACAAAAAATATCTTGTTTGGTAACCAACTAACAATACATGTACGCATCTCTCATGCATGTCAAAATTGTGTGACTTGGGATTTGAAATTTGAGCCAAAGCATTTCCTCACAGTTGGAAGAGCATATTTTTCATAGCTTGTATAATGTACACATAAGTTATAAGATGTAACTGCATGAACACTGAATCATAATAAACAAGTTTATAAAACTGACATGTAGTTTTATTATTATTGACCCTTTTTATATGGCTGTGTCTCACAAGGACTGGGAGCTACCGAATTCACGAATTTGATTGGCTGAAATCGATATTGACCGCGGTGTAGATTTTCCCATCTAGACCGGCAACTAGACCGGTTTCATTTTGCGTTGAAAAAGTAGCAAACTAAAATACAAAAATGTTCACCATATTCTTTTATTTTCTTCTCAATCATTTATGGAAGTGCCAAAAAGCCTGATGACAAAAAATAAAGTAAGGAGGACAAGCAAATTTCGGCACGTTTAAGTTAAGCTCATCACTGTTCGCAAGCAAAATGTCAGCAAACCAATTACATTAAACGAATAAAAGTTCTCTTCTTTGCCATAAAATAAACATCTCATTAACCAAGCTAAGTCGGTCTATATGGGAGAATCTTGACCTCGGTCGTGAGTACATACATGTACCTCACTGCGTTCGGTCTGTACTCACGACCTCGGTCAAGATTCTCCCACACAAACCTCCAGCTCGGTTAATAAGAGCTAAATATTAAGTCATAATAAAATTATTATGAACAAGTTCTCTAATAATTATTAGTCAGTATAAATCTACTCGCATTCTACATGTATCACAAATGCCATTCTCTGATTGGATACACTGTATGCTATTTACTCTCTACTGAGCTGCAGAAAGTTAGTAGCCTAGCAGTGTGCATTTGTTAACAAACTGGAGGCTGCTTCTTTACATGTACATCTTCAAAGTGTCTGTGAAGAGGATGACAAGGTTTCAAATGACTGGTAGATTTATTCTAAAACAATCAGATTACTCACTCTCAATTTCTATGCGTGATAGATGACTATCCACTATCAAAGAAATCTCAAGTTCATAATTGTTAAATAGAAAGATGACGGACTAGCAGTTTAAAACCATTACCAACAATTCTCGAGCTAAAGGAAGGGTACATTGTAGCAAGAATATTGGCAGTTTAAGTACATTGTAGGTCAGTGGAGTCTGGTTCAGATGTCTTACACAAAGTACATTATGACAACCATGTTTCTATTAATTTAAAACTTAATTCCTTAATTCCTTAAAGAGATTTTTGTGGTCAAAACTCTTGCAAATAGAGTATCAACACTCAATCCAGAATTTTGACTGAACAGCGAGGAATGACTGTTCTTATGAGCTACTTTTGTAAATTGTATAAATTAAACAAATTTCATGGGTGTATCTACACTGTAACCACACGGCAGGTCTGACACCTACCCTGTAAGGAGAGCAGCTGGTCTCGGGCTTAAAAGCCAGTAAAGCCATGGCCCTTTGGATTTCTTTGGTCATGGTACCATCAACATTAGCAGGGGGGAAGTGTTTCCTGGCATACCTAAAATGGGACACAATACGAAATTGAACATTTTGTACAGCTAGCTACAATACATGTATATAATTTACTGATGTAGTGTCCTGACTACTATCCTAAGTACCGGTACAGTAGCTTATCAGAAAGAATGTTTCCTGGAGGGGTTGTTAGTTCATTACTGCACCCCCCCCCCCCCCTCACCTTCAGTGCTAGTCTTAATATGTAACTTGAGACTCTTGACTCAAATGTAGTCTCAAATGTAGTCTTCCTTACTGGATGTTCAATAATTGAAATGAATGAAAGACATTGACTACAGATAACTTCACTGCTCACTGCTGATGACATGCAAAGTTCTACAGATGTAAGATCCCAAAAAACAATCAGTGCTAGTCATAATATGTAACTTTGGACTCGTGACTCAAATGCAGTCTTCCTTACTAGATGTTTAATAACTGAAATGAATGAAAGACATTGACTACAGATAACTTCACTGCTGATGATATGCAAAGTTCTACAGATGTAAGATCCCAAAAAAAAACAATCAAATGCTAAAGTTTAAAAATATACATACATGTATACAAAGTACAAAAAGTACACTATTTTGAAGGGGCACTGTCACTACATTTCCTAGCACATGCATGAGAAGAATGATAGTGACTGTATAAGATTTCGGGCCCTAATTATGCTAAGAGACTGTAGATGAAATACATTTAAAAAACAGTCCATTAGTGCCTATGAATGGGAATAAACTATGAACAATACAGTTGCTAAATAAATTAAAAATAGCAGATGTAGTACAGAGCCGGATAGATTCAAATTTTGTTTCTATGTTCTTTTCTCCTCCCTGGATACAAACTTACCTAACTGCTTCCATTTTTTCACCTCTTCTCACAAGCTCAACAAACTCCTGCATTCTCACATTGAATTCAAGGTTACTCTGGACAGAAAACATGGCATGAAAAACTTCATTTTATTGAAAAATGGCTTTGCACTTTCTAGTCTTTAATAATATATATGTATATAAATGCACATGTCACATACATTTTGTACATGTGGATGTTAGAATATAGGTCAAAATTTGAAACTTGACTGGCTACAAAATGTGTATATCTATGTACAGTAAAATGTATATTTCAAGCTCCTTCGTCAACAAACTTCATAAAAAAATGAAAAAAAAAATTGTTTACAATACATTGAGCGGCTCTCTTTATTTGGTTGGGCCTTAATCCAGCCATGCTACTGTATGTTTTAAGAAAATCTATCTAGGTACAGACTGCACAGTTGGGTGGATAATGGGGACCAAACACATGTAACTGAAAATAAGAATATCTACAGTAGTAGAGAAACCATACTCCAGGACAACAGGGTAAGGCCTGAAAGCCTCATACATGTATGTCAGGAAAATGTATGTTTATAAATATAGTACATTATTAATATAATTATAACAATTATTAATCAAGCATACAGTGTGCAGCACACCTTGATTTTTCTAAGCTTGGACTTGTTTTCATAACACCAGGCTAAGCAAGGTCCTATCTCTCTCCTTAATAAGGACTCTTCAACCTTTCTTGACACCAAGAACAATTCAATATCCACATGATCCTAGAGAGAAAGAAAATAATACACTCAGTCACGCTATAAACTGAAAAGAAACTTTCCTCTGACCAATTAATTCGTTATCTAGAGCATTTGACACTACATGTGTAAGAATGGCTAACAGATTACAGGGTTTTCAAAAAGGAAACAACATTTTTCATTTTACAAAACATGTTTCGACATTCCCATGTCATCTTCAGTGGCAAATGTTCGACCGTTGCACATTTGAATTTTCACTGTATACATTATTACGTTATAGCATTACACCATAAAATTTACGCTAACAATTTGAATATTAGAATACACTGGGAACAAATGTTGTTTCCTTTTTAAAAATTGCTGTTAGTCTGCTGTTTTTACGACCGTTTGAAATTACAGGGTAATCCTACACTGGGTATCCCCTCCCATTCAGGGGAGAGTGGAAATACAATACAGGTACATGTACTGTATTTACTTATATTTCATCTTGTCAATGTGGCACTTATTTGAGGGTGCCCAGTGCTTAATTGGGTATCATGTTTATAAATAAGTAAAATTTACCAAAAAAAAGAAAGAAAAAAAAAAAAAGGAAATACATGTACATGCAATTGTAAAACAGTGCTACATGTATTTAGCAATCTTCCATTTTGGTTTTGTTTAAAAACAGTTACAAAAGCGTAAGAAGTCTGACGACAATCTACCATAACAATTTCCAGACCCAAATTAATCTGCAGTTGGGTGGCTTCAAAGTGTTTTTGCTTCAAAGTATGGTGCTTATTTGGGGGTGGCACTTACGCGGGTGCCTGCTTTAGTACCAATACTCCTTCAGTAGAGGGGAGGCACGGTGGCCTCATGGTTAGTGCACTCGTCTCCGGATCGAGCGGTCCGGGTTCGAGCCCTGGTCGGGGACATTGTGTTGTGTTCTTGGGCAAGA